TCGCGCAGCTCTCTAATACGCGGAATCGCTTATTGCGCGATGAAGATCTCTTCCCCTCCTTCTCCTCCGAGGAAAGAAAAAAAAGATTTTCTCCATATATTATAGGTGCTTTCCGCACGACTTGCTCTCGGATATATCGCCCATCGTCGTTTTGTACATAAATAAACGCGCGAAAACATCAAAAAGACGAGTACAGGGAGAGAGTAAGAGAAAAGAGAAAGAGAGACGATGCACCACACCGCAAAAAAGAAAACTCGAAGGAAGAAAGGGTCGGAGAATCGAGGGTTGAGGGAGAAAGAGATATCCAAAGGCATTATAAGCGTAACGACGCACGCGTATTTATTGAGCAGCCCGCGCGCTCGTACTCTGCTCCGTACTTTGGCTTTTGTATATCTCAGCGCGTTATGTATCGATGCCCGAGTATATGGGATATAATAATAATCGAACCGAGCTCACAGTGTCTCTCTAACGGCGTAGTTGTTGTATACGGACGAGCAGCAGCAGCAACAATAACAATGACAAGAGAACGACAACGATCACGACGAGGCCAAACGAGAGAGAGTTGCTGCTGGCGCGTTTTGTCACTCGGTGAGCCGAGACACCCCAAACTCGTTCACGCCTATCTAGAGCGAGCGAGCGAGCGGTATGCCAGCGGCAGCAATCCACGATAATTGGCCAATTAAAAGCGCCGTATAGCAGCCGAGTGAGAGAGAGAGAAGCGCGAACTATACAGCGCGTTATATACACCCGCGTAACGTCTCTCGGGTTACCTGCGCCACCGAGAACGGCGATACACACGTACGCGCCTACCCACGAAGCATCCGATAATTATTGCCGGATAGTGGCCACCGACGGGGTGTGAGCATGTATGTGGGGTATATGTGCGAACCCACCACCAAGTCGTATAGTTCGTATTTCGGATTATCGAGCACGTGTATGATCTTGAGTTTTTTTTCAGTGAATTTAGTAGAAAAAAATTGATATTTTGACACGTAGATAATATGGATTGAAACGACTTGAATGCAAAAGCATATACCTTAATTTTTAAATCGATAAGTGGCTATGTAAAAATTGTTGTTGAAGTACTAGCATATTATTACATTTAGTTAAAGTTGATTCTATTTGAATGATGCGATTCAATTATATCGTTTCTGTGGTGTTTTGAATATCTGGAGTATCCACAGGCACGGGACGGAAAACTTTCAAGTCATTTGAGTTTTTTAATTTGACTATAGGCTCCAATATTTGGAGGGATTTCGTAGGAACTTTACATCCGATAGCTGTTCTGACACAGCTGCTTATTATAATTGATATAAATTAGTTATATTTTCATAGGATAAGTGAGAGGTTAATACTTCAAAATTCGTTTTGTACGTAAACAAAATTAATCGTTATTGAAGGTGTCGTATATTTCGATGGCGAGCTTTTCGATTGCACCAACAGATGGAGTATTGAAAAGTCGCAAGCGGTAAAAACATTTCTGATTCGTATAAGTACGGCAACGGGGACTAAACTTTTCATTCAAATTCTTTCAAATTCATTCAAATTCTGTGCTGACTGGGAAATCAATCAATTAATTTCATTTCATTTCAGTGATAATATTTATACGATGATGTTATATCACACCGCGACAAAGAGTGCAATAACGGCAATTTAATTCACAAATTAAATTATTTCCTTTAAATTTCTACATATCCCTCGGACACACTTGATTTCCGTATTTCTCTCTCTCTTCACGGGCATCAAAGAAAACTTAGCGTCAATTTCGTACGCTATTACATACCTCACAGTTTGCGCGTGGGCGGGCGTGTGCATGCGAGCTCTGGCGTCGTCGTCGGCGATCTATTTCGCGCGTGTCGCCTACCCATATATACAACGACACAGAGAGCGAGAAAGAGAGAGAGAGAGAGAGAGAGGTATAAAGCAATTTGTCTCGCTAATGAGATGTCAAGAGAGTCGACCCCCGTATACGATACATACCGATTTCTCTCCTCGCCTCGCATAACACGTAGTGGTAGTAGTCGCAGTAGTGCACCCGAGAGCGCCTCTTCTCTTTATGTTTTTTTTTCTGGTGCGCTTCGCTCGACTCGAGCTTTCTCTCTCTCTCTCTCTTCTTTCTGATTGGCTTTTTTTCCGTATACCTACTACTGCCGTGCCTGATGTTGCTATACCACCACCACCATCACGGTATATACTATCAATTCGCGCTGACTGTGCTTTTGCAAGCTCTGCACACGCGTTTATTCGGGCGATTAAAATTTAGCTTCTTAATTATCAATTTATCCGGCACACCCACCGCCGACGCCTTTGTGATCGTCGACGTGTAATTGGCGATCGTATTGCGCAACCATCGCATAATCTCAGTCATCGAGAAACGAGAAAAGTGAATTTTCACCGAACGGAGATTTGCGTCTCTTTCTTCGAAAACGTTTATACCCATAAATATAATTGAAAAACGAAAATGTTTCGCGCATAATACACGACGTTATATACAACCCGCGTATACGATATATAATATGTAAACTCGCGCGCAATACATATATCCCCCGAAAACTAATTGGTTAAATCTGCGCCGGGGCCCGAGCAAGCGAGTAAGCTAGCTAGCTGGCGGCTCTCGCATAACTGCGAGGCTAATTGGGTGATTTCCTGACAAATTATATCCACCCGTGTATTATCATCATTATTATTATATGGCGTGCACGGTGTATACACAAGTCACAGGCACGCCGTATAGTTTGTCACTTGATGCCGCGCCGCTTCTCTCTCTCTTTCAGGCGTGAAAGAAAACGACCACTCGAGTCGAGGGTGTCTCGCATTCGCTCGTGCATACGTACGCACGCATATATAAGCAACAGCAGCAGCAAAAAAAAAAGGAGAAAAGTCGAAAATGATGATGTCTAGCTGTCGTATACGCGCGGCCAAGGACTAAGGTTAAATAGCCGCCTCGAGCTCGGCTCGCGTTTATACGGATGAGTAATTACGTATTCGACGCTTCGCGTGAACTGATTGATGACGATAAAGTTCGTTATATTGTGGCTTACTTCTTCTTCTTCTTCTTCTATCTGGCCATGGCGCGTGCAGCGAGAGACACACAAGAGGATTAAATTTTACTCAGGCGCGCAGCGCATTTTCGAGGAAAAACGTATATTAGCCCGAGTTTCGGCTAATTGACTGCTTTTACGCCCTCGAGTGGTTCTGGTCCGTTGTACACCCGCGTGCACGTGTTTGAATCTATAAAGCTCCTAAAATTATCGTTGTAATTATGATCGCAAACGTAAAAGTATCGTAGAAGTCATTATAAAAAAAATTTGACAGTTAGATTCTGTTTTCTTTTTGAAGAAAATCTGCATAATAAAAATAGAAATAACAACTGTGAGTAATAACGAAAATGAGTACAAATAGATGATATCTTCTCATCGTCAAGAATAATTTGGGAATTACAACATATATTTTTTTTATTCATTAAACTTTTAAGATAAAATTTACGATAAAATTTGTAACACTAAATGGCAAAAATGTTACTTTGCCTAAACCCATTTCAAAATACAAAATACAATAATCAATTTACTATCATAAAATTTGGCGTGGCTATTAAGAGTCAGATTAGTTCACGCACGTTATCGCTGGTTGAGAAATTTTGTACGATGTGCAGCTTGTCATTTTTGTCAATCCATAAGTACGATACATTTTATAGTTAGCTCATTGGCCACAGATGGCGCGTCATCAACTCGCGAGTGGTTGAATCTCGTTCGGATTGGTATAAATGAAATGAAAACTCGGCACTTGTAAAAAAACTTCTTGCCATTTTTTCCAAACCAAAGAATTAAATGTAGACACTTATTTACTGTAAAATCCATCAATATTCGTTGTACTGGCTTCTCCACGCGCGAGTCTCGAATAAACACCCGCGTCGCAAAAGCTCCAACATCGTACCGATTATACATATGAATATCGGTCTTGGACGTGGAGAAAGAGAGAGCGTAGCTGCCACCACCTCTGGGACATAATTTAGTCTCTCGAAAACTTTTTGAAAAATGATAACGTCTCTGCCACGGCTTGCGCTACGCGCAATATAATAAATGGTCATTTGGTACAGTGGCTCGGGATAATCAAGCCCGTCACACAGCAGCAAAGTATCAACGCCGCATGCCCATCAATTTTCATCGTCGAACGATTCGAGATAAGAAGGCTCTGTGTATATACACATCTCTCGGGTGAAATCTCCTTTCTCTCCCCCCCGCGCTCGTGCCTCAGCGGGCGAGCGAACCTGCTCATTTGATGCCGGTGACACAGTATAAATGTATATATGTGTACTCCCCAAAGGCCCCGTTATACACACGTAGTACACGTCGAAGCGCAAACTTAAAACCGACATCTGCGCGCGGTGGATCGGGCTCTCGAGCTTTTATTGTGTTGCTGCTGCTGCTACTACACAACGCAAGACTGGCAACTACGAGCAAAGTGTGCATTCGTTTCGGCAATTATGCGTGTCGGCCCAATGAAGTTACGCACTCGTGCAATTACGGTCGTACGATTTTATTTCAAATTATTCGCGTCTCGCTTCGTGAACATTGACACGATACGAGGCGCGCACGTCTTAAATCTTCTCGATCGCATAAATTGCAATAATACAGAGATACACTATATCAAATAGTTCGCGTGCTCGTAATAATAGGTGACGCAGTGAGGATAGAGATGCAGGTAGGGCTCCAAATTGTGACTCTGTCTGGTGTACGCGATGCTGCTGTCCATTTTGTTCTGCATAACTTTGTGAATGAAGTCCAAGTGCGACGAGACTCGGGTGAATCTTTCGCCGTTGCCGCAGTGCTGGTCGATCGAGTAGCTGTCCACGCCCACGATGACGTTCGTGCCCCAGATAACGAGAGAACCACCGCTGTCGCCCTGCACAAAAAAAAGCATCTCATTACGTGATACTTTTTTCTTTTTTTTTAATTACGTAGATGGACATCGATCCTCACGAAGCAGTTGCCTTCCAAATATCCTTTGTACTGGGCCAGCGCTTTGACGCACACCTCCGTGTTTTCGCAACCGGCTGCGTCGGGAACGTTGATGGTGCCCACGGCGTATTTGAGAAACGGACTCGTGTTGCTCGGCTCCAGATCGCCGATCATGTTTCTGACCTGTTGGTAAACGCCGAAGCCGTTCATGACCGCAACGTAGAGGGTCGGAGCCAAGTAATCCCTGGGCCCGGGTAACTTGACCGTTCCTAAGTAAGGATGATTACCGATTGGTAACGGATTCCTCAACTATCGGTATCGGTATCGGCGATTCAGTCGATGAGCACAAAATAATCGTGAAGATTTTTCAACTGCACCGACCTTCAGAATCGCTATGTCGTTCCAGTACGGATGCGAATTGTAGACGTCGTCGATCCAAGTTCTCGGCACGTACATGTACTCGACGTCCCGATACACGCCGATGGCTTTGTTGTTCAGATCGACCGTGCCGGCGATGATGCTCACCTCTCGGCTCTCGAACTGGTGAGTGACGTTGTTGGTGATGCAGTGGGCCGCCGTGACGATGTGACGAGCGTCGAGTATGCTGCCGCCGCAATAAGTCTCGGTGCAGGCGTAATTACTCAGGAATTGAAGCGAGACCGCGTACGGAAATTGGCCAGGTAGGGCGAACTCGCCTTGGACGATTCTCGCCCTCTCTGTGGGTGCGAATCATAAATGTTGCGTTAAGTGCTGCGTATGCGGATCGCGGGTGGATTTTGATAAACGATCGTGATCGAGCTTACTACAATCGACTGCAGTTTTGAGACACGGTACCAGGAGTATAGCGAAGAAAAATATCGCGCTGTCCATTTTTGACTGAATATTGAAAAATACTCGTAGTAAGTATCGTACTACGACTTTTCTTTTGTTGCATCGCTCGATATAACTCACGAAATGTGCATAAAAATGTTTTAATACTTCGCAGCGAAGTTTCGAGTCTTTGCGAAGCCAAGATACCGAAGAGAGCTTTAATGAATTTTTCGGCATTTGAAATTCTTTCAGGCTGATTGAGTAACATTTTTTGGATTGTATTGGGTAAAATATCAGCCGGTAGAGAAGCTCAACATTGATAATAATCTAATAGTCAAGACTTTTCTATTAAAATTATGTCACAATGACAATTTGATTATGTTAACAATTTAGACCAGTTTTTAACCATTTTAAATAAGATTATATGACTTGTTACACCTTTTTTCTATAAATTTTCTAGTGGCAAAGTCAAAGTAAAAATTGTTTATAAAGTCAATAATTGTATACATTCGGGTTATTCGTGCAAATTTTTCATGATCATTACCGTATGATTACAAACCTTCAAGTGATAACAAAAATAATCTCCCAACTGTATGGTGAATTTGCAAGGATTTTGCATGAGTGAAAAAATCATTCTCACAGATACTACTGAAAGTTTTTTGAGGACAATATGAATTTTGAAAATTTCCATCTATTTGAAATAATTATTCTTGGCAAAAATTGTAAACTCAGGAATTTGGTATTGCATTTTAATATAAACTGAAGAAATGAAGAATTTTCAATAATGGCGAATAACAAACTCATAAATTTTTATTAAAATTCACAAAGAGGAATGTTTGGATAATGATCTTCAGCATCTAAGGTTAGTTCTACAGGCACCACTGTTTCGTCGATATTACCATCGAGCACCATCTTAATAAAATCCAAGTACTCGGAGACCCTTGTAAATGTATTACGTATTCCACAAGTTACATTACGAGAGTAGCTATCAATTCCAACGAGAATATTCGATCCATGGATAACAAGTGGACCACCACTGTCACCCTGAATTATAAATTAGACGAATGAGAAAAATTAAAAATTTAATAATTTAAATTAAACTTACTTGACAGGGACCTTCCAAGTGTCCATTTGACAATCCGTAAGCTTCGAAACATATTTCTCCAGAATCACATTGGTAAGATTCATTTGGAGCATTGATGACACCACGAGCATACTTTAAATACGGAACCGGTGGTTCAGATTCTAATTCACCAGTGGTCGTATTTAAAATTTGGGTATTGGTGCCAAAACCCGCAACACTTCCGTCGAATGTATCAGGTGGTAGATACTCATCGGTATTAGGTAACTGAACCGCACCCAAAGTTTCATGATCACCAAGAGGCAACGGATGTTTCAACTGTCAATCGATTGTTCGAAAAATTAAAAATATTCAAAAAGTAAAAATATCATTAAAATTCTCACCCTCAAAATTGCTATATCATCGTATATCTCGCCTTCTTCGTATCCGTACGAACTTGGTATGAATATTTTCTGAACAGCGCGATAAATACCACTCGTTTTATTCGACAAATCCGTTGTACCTGCCACTATTGTAATTTCATTCCTCAGATCATAAGTACTGTTTAGAGCAGAATCAGTCGCAAAAGCGCAATGAGCAGCTGTGATGATGTGATATTCATCAAGTATACTTCCACCGCAAAACGGATAAGTGCAATAGAACTCCGTTATGAATTGGAGTGAAACTACGTAAGGAAATTCACCAGGTAAGGCAAATTCACCTCTAATTATTCTCGGTCTTGCTATTGAACACAATTGAATATTACATCGTATTTTTTATTGATTGTATTGATTTTATGTATGCATACCACTAGTTACAATGTAGATAAGACATGGATTAAGAAGCACAGACAACAGTAAGTTGGTTTTCATTGTCAATTTTAATAATCATCTATTCCAGGTGCTATTTTGAAGATTAATTAGATAAAGTATTTGTGAATTTCTTTTTTGAATATTCTTTAAAAAGCTTGAAAAAATAATACACTGAATAACTTACTAAATTTTACTAGAAACCTTGCTATTAAGAAATCGTTAAGAGGGGTTTTATGAGGAAACAGCTTAAAATTATACGTGGAATGCATGCTAAAAAGCACGACGTTTAGAAACGAAGTAGCCTGGACATTAATTTCATTATTTTTTTTTTACGACCGATGATCGGAAATCATTTTCAAACACCTTCAAACTTACGAACAAATTCTTATCAAGCGCTTAAGACCAATTTTTCCGGTTCAAATGCACTTTAAATTGCAAATGTAATTTACATGTGAAAATCATACATGATGAATTAAAAAAAATCTGATATATTTAGACCTTAAGTATTCAATGGAACGATTTAAGTTTACATGAGTGAAATGTTTATTTATTCACTAATTATTGTATGAAATGTAGAATACATTTTGTTTTGGACTAATATTTATAATATTTATTGACTTTAAATAATGAATAGGGCTTTATAGCCATTTTTGCATTGAAAAATTGGAATTACGATGTCATGTATCGTGTCCGCATAAAGGAATGTATGGATAAGCATCTTCAAATTCTAAAGTTAGTTTTACAGATGAAATCGTTTCATCGATCTCATTATCGCGTACCTTCTTAATGAAATCCAAGTACGAACTTACCCTTGTAAATTTTGTATATTGCCCACAATATTTGTCGTTAGAATAGCTAGTGATTCCAATGAGAATATTGGTATTCTCGATTACAAGAGGACCGCCACTGTCGCCCTGAACAATACATTCAGCATATAAGAAAAAGAAATATTAAATTAAAGGATAAAAGGTAAACCTACATTACAGGCTCCTTTCAATTGTCCACTTAAAAATCCAAAACTCTTGAAGCACACCTCTGTAGGTTTACATCCGTGAAAAACATCAATAATGTTTACGAAACCGCTAGCGTATTTCAGATACGGATCTGATAAGCCATATACTTTGCCAGTATTCAACTGTAAAAATTGTGAATTATCACCGAAACCTGCAGTTGTGGCGTTGAATGTATCAGGTGGAAGATACTCATCAGCTTTGGGTAATTGAACCAAACCCAAGGTTTCATAATCAGCAAGAGGTAGTGGATGTCTCAACTGCCAATTGAAAATTGTTTTTTGGAATATTACGAATATTCAAAAGAGTCAACATAGTCAATGTTCTTACCCTCAAAATTGCTATATCATCATGACTTTTTTTATTGCTTGTATACGAAAGTGGTATGAATACTTCCTCGACGTCGCGATAAACACCAACTTTTTTATCTGTCAAATCCGTTATACCTGCTCCTAACGTAATTTGTTCGTTTTTTAATTTATTAGTAACATTATTAGTCACACAATGGGCAGCTGTGATGATATGATACTCGTCGAGTATACTGCCACCGCAAATATGGTAAGTGCAACCTTCCGTAAGACGCTGGAGTGTAACGATATAGGGAAATTCGCCAAACCCGGCTAATTCACCTTCAACTATTCTCGGTCTTGCTATCAAAAATCGATTATTACACAATTATTATATTATTTTTACCGAATGTGTTTTTAAATATAGTTCATAATAAAATTAATGATTTTATGTATGCATACCACCAGTGACATAGCAGATAAGAGATGGACTAAGAAAAAGGAGCAAGAGGAAATTTATTTTTATCGTTAACATAATTGAAACGCTTGAAAATGCAATACATCTAATAACTCACTAAGTTTGACTAGAAACCTGATAATTTATAAATTGATTTGCTAGTATGAGGAAATAGTTCACGTTCAACAAATTATCTGCCAATGGCACGACTTTTTCTACACGTAGTCGTAAAAAGTATAAAGTCAAAAGAGTTTTATAGGTTGTTTTAATCTTAAAAGTATTAGTAGTGGTAAAATTAGACAAAATTATTGAATATTTTCTTTTTCATGTCGTTCGCGCGTATCTGAGCTATTCTAGAATTTAGTTCCGAATTTTTGTCTATAACCGGAAAAATTTTTTCCGCTGAACGCATATTTTGAACATGAGGTATTGTTGTTGAAGGTCTTAAAAAGTTAAAAAATGGCGTGATAATTATAGATTTTTTTTAATGCAAATATTTTATTAAAAACACATTGGTAAAATAAAGCGACTTTATTAACGTTGAATTATCTTTCGCTTCACGGTCTGAAATCATATCCTTCAATCATATTTTACAATCATCAGCTTCTCCCGAATTGACAGAATTGCTCTATCCACATACATTTTTGAACACAATGTTATTTTCTTTATTCTTTGTCTCAAATTAAAATTGCTAACAGCGTCAATTTTTGAATAAATTTTTTGTTGTTTTTAACATCTTTTTTAACTTTAGCTATAGTTTCTGCTTTTTTCCAAACTGAAGGGTTTATACTTTGTCATTGGGACAGAGTATTAATCGATTGGAAAACTTGACCAATATGTATAAGAAACTTGAAATTATATCCGTTAACAATATAATGACAAATGAAACATCTGCTGTTGAGTAAACACTCATCAATACATTCGTATCAAACGTATTTCGAGGACTTTATTTATGTTTATCAAAAATTTGAATTTTTTTATCGCATAATTCGAAATGAGTGTTAAATTTGAAGAAAAATCTCATAATTCGAAAAATTTTGAAAAGAAAATTCGATTTATATGATACTTCCTTCGAATTATGTGACATTTTTTGCATGGTTTTGTATAAAACAGTACCGTGTAATATTGCCTACACATAGGCTACGAAAAACTCAAAATTTCAATTTTAGATAGGCTACAAAAAAATCAAAATTTTAAAAACCTTCAAAGCGCCTACGCCTAAGCAACCCACCAACACACACAGCCAGTTGCTCCAATTTTGAGTGAGCTTATTGAACAGTTCGGTCCATAGACCAGAATTTCACTTCATTTTATGAACTCTATAATAATTAGAAGGTTATTTCTGCAATTCCAAGAATTCTAATCAGCTACTTCTCCAATATTCGAGAATGTAGTAGATGGACAAGTGTAGAAATATTCATAATTTACACAAACAAATAATCCAGAATAAAACAATAACTATGCCTCAGGCCCGACTCGACAAGCAAGAATCGATATGGAACGATCCTCTCAATACTCACTTCTCTTCCAAACCGCCTTCCCTTTAATAAATTATAAATGAATAAATAACTTGTATGTAATAAAAGGTCGACGTGTGTATGAAGTGTAAGGAGTTGCCCGAAACAGCAACGGAAAGCTGAGTATAATATCTACGTTATAATTCAATAAATTCCAACAACAATAATAATAATTAACGATTAATAATAATATTCATATACAGCATTCTAGAATATTCGAACATCGGCTAGAGGAACAAAGAGACAAAGAGAAATAGATCTTGCCACTAACCGGAGAAGTGGTCCAATCCAAACTCGCAAAAAGCAATAAAAATCTAAGCGCTGAAACCCAATCAAGCAGATGTCTCCTCAAGACACGGTTTTCTCGATCTGCCTGTGCTCCAGCAGCCAAACGACGAGGTTCTCTGTTTTTAACTATGTAAGTTCAAGTGTTCTCTCCTTCACTCACATTGCCTTTGGCCGATGTTCACTAGGACACAGTACTAATCCATGACAATGAATGTAACTTTCATTATGTTCGATAATAAAAAAGCTTATAAGTCTAGTTTCTGTTCTATATTACTTATTTTAATACAAATCCATCACACGTCGTTCGATCGTGCGCTAACCTCACTTCGCATACCAGAAAGTGCAACTCATGACTCGGAAAAGGGGGCATAAATGTGAACTTAGCACAGTGCTATAAAATTGAGTACGATATTCGAGCCAGAGATGTGGAACTAAGAATCACAGACAACAGTTGCTTGGTTTTCATCGTCAATGTAACTAATCAGCTATTCCAGTTGCTGTTTTGAAGATTATCTTTTTCGAAAATTCTTCAAAACCCTTAAAAAAAGAATACACTCAATAACTTACTAAGTTTTACTAGAAACCTCGCTATTAAGACATAGTTAAGCTAGTTGAGAGGGTTTATAAAGGAACTGCTTAAAATTATATGCAGACTAAAAGTTGAAAAGCCCACCTTTTCACCATATAGCCTGGACAATAATTTATTGGTGTTTATTTTCTTTTTGACCACCGAATAGAAATCATTTGCAAGCAACTTAAAAATTAAGCACGAAATTCAGAATATATTTTGTTTTGGATAAACGTTAATAATATTTATTGACTTTAAATATTGAATGGGGTTCTATAGGCATTATTTGCATTGGAAAATTGCGATTACGGTGATATATATTTTAGTGGCAATGAGGAATATATGGAAACGCATCTTCATGGTGTAAAGTTAGTTTCACAGACGAAATCGTTTCATCGATCTCATTATCGAGCACCTTCTTGATGAAATCCAAGTACGAGCTGACCCTTGTAAATTTTCCATAGTGCCCACAATAATTATTATCGCCTTCATAAAAGCTAGTGATTCCAACGAGAATATTAGTATTCTCGATTACAAGAGGACCGCCACTGTCGCCCTGAACAATAAATTCGACGTATAAGATAAAAAAATATTGAATTAAACGATAAAAGGTGAACATACGTCACAGATTCCTTCCAAGTGTCCGTTTAAAAATCCGAAACTCTTGAAGCACACCTCTGTAGGTTTACATCCGTAAAAATCATCAATAGCGTTTATGACACCGCTAGCGTATTTCAAAGACTGATCTGATGGGCCTGCTTCTAATTCGTTAGTGTCCAAATGTAAAATTTGTGAATGATCACCGAAACCTGCAGTTATGCCGTTGAATGTATCAGGTGGTAGATACTCATTAGCTTTGGGTAATTGAACTACACCCAAGGTTTCATAATCAGCCAGAGGTAATGGATGTCTCAACTGTCGAGCGAAAATTGTTTTTTGGAAAATTACGAATGTTTAAAACAGTCAACATAGCCAATTTTCTCACCTTCAAAATTGCTATATTATCATCAAGCGTCTGATTTTCTCTATTGTGTGTAAACGAAAGTGGTATAAATACTTCCTCGACGTCGCGATAAACACCAATTTTTTTATCTCTCAAAGACGTTGTACCTGCTCCTATTGTGATTTGCAGATTGTCTAATCCCCATGTTTCTTCATCGATCACACATAAAGCAGCTGTGATGATATGATACTCGTCCAGTATACTACCAGCACAATTAGCGTAAGTGCAACCGTCCCCAAGAAATTGGATTGCAGCTACATAGGGAAATTCACCAGGATCAGCAAATTCACCTCCAACTATTCTCGGCCTTGCTATTAAAAAATCGATTATCATATAATTATTATATTATTTTTTACATAGTGAAACGTTTGATTTTATGTATACATACCACCAGTGACACAGTAGATAAGAGATGGACTAAGAAACAGGAGCAAGAGGAAATTTATTTTTATCGTCAACATAATTGAAACGCTTGAAAAAATAATACATTACATAACTCACTAAGTTTGACTAGAAACCTAAGAATTTATAAATTGATTTGCTAGTATGAGGAAATAGTTCACTTTCAACAAATTATCTGCTAATGGCACGATTTTTTGCTACACGTAGTCGTAAAAAGCATAAAGTCAAAAGAACTTTATCGGTTGCATGATTGAATATATTTTATTTTTAATGTCGTTTGCAAGTATCAGCATGATTGCGGGACGTCACTCATCAGAGTTTCTATAATTTCTGCATACGGTCGTAAACCATGAAATTCAAGAAAACATAAACAAACGAATGAATACAAACATTTTTATTTTTGTATATAATCAAAATTGTACAACAGTAGGCGAACCCTGAATCAGATCGATGTGCGCGATACTATCGTCGATCCTATTTTTGAGCACCTTCTGAATGAATTCCAGGTACGCCGATACTCTCATAAATTTTTGATGCGTCGCGCAATGCTCTTCCTCGGAATAGCTGATAATTCCAACCAGAATACTCGTTCCGTCGACCACGAGCGGCCCACCACTGTCTCCCTGCGAATCGGTTCGAATCGATCAAATAACGAATGAAACGTGAAAAAATCGTAGTCTCGCAATCGGAGGAGATACTCACGACGCAGACTCCTTCCAGACCACCTTGGATGTACCCGTGAGCCTTGAAGCAGACCTCGCGCGCCGAGCACGAGTAATAGTTGTCGCGCGCGTTGATGATACCTCGGGCGTACTTCAGATACGGCAGCCACGGGGCTGGATTCGCCTCGTCCTCGCTCTCCTCTTGGTCGCCGAAGCCCGCGACGACTCCGTTGAGCCGGTTGGGCCACAGATACTCGTTAAACGCCGGCAACTCGACCGCGCCTATGCTCTCGTAATCGCGCAGAGGCAGCGGGAACTGCAGCTATACATCGAAAATCGCACGATTATATACTTGAGAAAATCGACTCGTGTACTCACCCTCAGAATCGCCAAATCGTCGAAGATCCTCTCCGGGGTTCGGTGCGTGTACGACTCGGGCACGAAGACCTGGCGGACGAAGCGATAGAAGCCGATCGTCAGGTTGGACAGGTCCGTGGTGCCGGCCGCCACGAGGATCGGCTGGTCCGCCAATCGATAGGTGTCGTTGTAGGTCACGCAGTGGGCGGCCGTGATGACGTGCAGCTCGTCGAGTAACGCGCCGCCGCAGAACGGCTCGGGACCGAAGTCCGGCCCGCTCGGCTCGGGATGCTGCAGCGAGACCACGTAGGGAAATTGACCGAGCTTGGCGAATGCGCCGTTGATTATTCTCGGTCTAGCTAAATTGTTTACAAAACGATCGATCGATGAGCGTAAGTGTATCGACGAAAAGACATCATCGACGGATTTATATACGTACCACCTGTAACGATTTGTATCGCGCACAGTGCCAGAAACGACAACGAGAGTAATTTTTCTTCCATCGTCGATGCGAGTAATAAGCTAATAACGATTTTTCATTTAATGTTTGAGTTTAAGCTCTGCAACAAAAAATTTTTTTAATGTATCATCGCGAGACGAGAAAAAACTCCAGGACAGAGCCACTCGTAATAATTCGAAATAGAAATTGATGATAAAAGGTTAATATCAAGGATATCACACCTGTACGCGACAGTACGTCCACAAACAAACGTGATAAATGAATATTATTAGATACTCCCACTACTTCGCGAGCATTAAAATTTAAGTTTGCAATTGTTCCACGCCGTTTAACGAGCAAGGTTTATTATCGTTTCAATTCTTACATTACGCGAGTTCGATGCGATGAAAATAAAAACGCGATCGATATTTTCGCTTATCAATATGGGCTTTCGTTGACGTTTCTCATAATTCTTATCACTCCTTAAATACAGGCCGTGACCCACCCATCTAGTAAACTGTCCGACGATGGCTATGTAAGTTATGAATTCATTTGTAGTAAAATTTTCATGCTTTCACTTCGCATTTGTGCAGATCATGCATGCACGACATAGTAGCGAATTTCAAATATCGTTCGAATTTTCAAACCTCCATCACTAGATACCCGATATACTCTGAATCAGGTGGACTGAAGAGTCACTACAAACAAATTGAATACATATTAGTCATTTTTTTACATATTCGATTAAAACATTTCCAAAATTGCATAGCAATTTTTGTGAGTGTAGAAGTTTTTATTATGCCAACGTCTATCAGAACGAATTTCGACTTTTTATTTTGTTCAAATAATTTTTAATAAATGTCACAATCGAAGGCTTTGCTACGAGTATGTACTGCAGCTATGCCAGTTTTGAGGATTTTTCTAATCAAACTCGCTTCACTTGCACAAATTTTTCAATGCAAATTACTTTCATAAAATAATTTCGTTTATCATTGTGATGTTCAATTTCGCAGATAGTTGTCGATAAAGACTTCAGTTTAGCTTCAATATTATCGTATTAAAAATCAAAGGTGATACATTCAATTATGTTATTGGTCTGATTTTTGTTCCCTAATTTCATACTAAATATTCAACTTTGATGTTTATTTATGCAGATTGATGTCGAAAAATTCAAGTTTAACGTCAATGCACTCAAAATCTATGAATATTTTTTTTTCAATTCTTCCTGCAATAGCATAACCTCGTTCATGTGTAAGCATAAAAAAATCGTGTAATAATTTTAGACGATCGAATAATGGAAAATAATTTGAAAAACTGATTAGTTGCTTTATTAAATAGTCCAACCCAATAATAAATTAAAACTCTGTAGTCTTACATAATATTATTCATTTATTAAATTACAATTGTTATTAATATTATTTTCCGAAACCTGGAACCTCTCTCATCATAAAACTGGGATCTCGTGAACATTTTGGTACTGGGTCCTCAACCACAGTACCATTTGGCAAAGTCATATTTACGTATTTACATGGATCGAGATGAGGAGCAAACATATAGACGAGATTACCCCAACTTATCTGAAAAATTGTGTGAAATTATAAGTATTATAAATATAAATGAGATTTCGTTTAATGATATTAAATTTAATTTTAAAATAAAATTACTTGACGACTTTTCCTTATTCCGATACTTTCGTTGAAAGTAATAACCAGTACAGCTGACAGAAATATCAGGTTAATGCAACGAAGGCCCATGATTTTTTGATATGCGATTCGATCGACTGCGTTAATAATGCGTAGCGCAGGTTGCCTTTATATTCAAAAAAACGCGTAACCGATTGATATAATTTTTATTGCTAATACGATTGTGTGCAATGAGCAATAAAAAGCGATTAATGTTGTAATAACGACGTGGGACCCAGTAGTCTAGGCAATGCTCAATAACGATTGGCCTGTCACACACTTAAGAGGACACACCTATGTTTATGCCTACAAATGAAAAACATGTTTTTATAGGTCCGTTACTCTTAAGCGGAAAAGAATTTTATTACAAAACTTTTGAGACCACACGGATCAGGATTGGTGAAAAATTGCATTCAAAATCATGCGGTCGATGACTTAGAAATTACAAGTCAATATTCATGTTCGATGGATGATTTTAAATAATAAGAGGAACTAGAGACATATTTTTTGTTGTAAAAGGACCTATAAAAACATATTTTTACATCAGAAACAAAAAATTTTAATAGTAATCCTTAATTTTCATGTTTTTCATTTATAGGCATAAACACAGGTGTGTCCCCTTAAGGGGAGGCTCTCATGAGACCCGATCAAAAAATAGATTTTTTTGCTCACTTAGTTAGCAAATGTCCCGTAAAATACACCCCCGAAATTCTTTTTACTAAAATCCATTTGGTTAAAAAGTTATAGGCAAAAAACCGAAGCTGTAAATTCGCTTACAAAAACTTTAAACGCATTTTTCTCGAAACCACGTTTTCTAAATCTGGTGGCACGATATCTCAAAAAGTACTGCATTTAAAGATACACATTTTTTTTATTTTGAAGCTTATTAAATTGTCTGGATCTTAAACCTACACAATTTAAAATTTTTTCATTATTATTATTTTTTAGAGCCCATAAAAGAGCCAAAAAAGGGTAAAAAAATTTTTTTTCCGAAGTTCGACATTTTATCAATTTTTTTGTAATTCTTTAGGTACAACCTCCAGCAAATGTCATCTAGTTGAAGAGGAACTTCGAATTTTTGGTTTCGGGCAAAAACTGAAGACGCTAACTTGCCGCCCGTTGAGGTACCTTATTTTTACACGACCTCTATCAAAGGCTGCTAGGCAATACATAATACATACGTACCATTTAAATACATACTACATAAGTACCAACAAATTTTACGGCATTATTCACTTCCTTCCACGAAAAAAAATCACGAAAAACACGTCACTTTTGAGGCACTAGATGAGAGCCTCCCCTTAAGCTAGTTTTAGAGAAAAGTCATATAGACTTCAAATTTACAGTGATTTTAAAAATCTAACATCTCGTCTAAGCATCTTTCAATTACTCAATTAATTATTGGTCACTAATTATTGGTTTTCTTAGATATGGTGGAAAAGGAAATATCAGAAAATTCTAATTATTTAAAAAAAAAATTTATTATTATGCACAAAAGTAACAGATTAATATTAATTGAAATACAATACTTAAATTGAATTGTCTTGTTATTCTTACTTTTCTATCGTCATAATTAGAAACAATTTAAAAATGTGTACATAATATACATTCAGTTAAAAGTCAGCTTTATATGAAATAAGTATTAATGTATATTATTATTGTTATTTATACTCATTTGTTATTAGACTTGTCCAGTAGTATATTGCAGGAAAAATCATAATTAAAATCGTCAAGAACTGTTGCAATTCAAAATGCATAGAGACGTCACAAATTTCCAACAAAAAAACCGTCGAATCTATTATCATCCAAGTCAAAATTATGCACGTCGTGACCTATATTAGAGACAAGCATTTTCATTCGAATTTTTTTACAGATCCTTCTTTTTTGCTGTCATTTTCACACCGCAATATGATTATATTTTTCATGAAGAATGATAAACGAATAATAACTAACCTTTTTCCAATCGCCTTGGTAACAGGTGAACCCCCACGAGACCAAAAAAATTAGAACGATCACGATATTAATTATCGAATTCCAAATTTGGAACCTGCAAATAGAAATTCGAATTAAAAATAACCATTTATTGCATGACAACTTTTCTAATTGGTAATACATGTATGTTTACACTATAAATCTATTTATTTTAACTTACTCATAGTCCTTCATTTTTTTAATATCAAAGTAGCACTTCATTTCAGATTCACCTTTAACTTCAAATTTAATCCATCTTACGAATCTGTACTGTAAAAATGATGAACCCATTCCAATAATCCAAATCGACAAAATAATTGTTATCATTGACCATTTATTACACCACCGTGATTGAGTTTGATTTTTGCTTTGTTGATACCTGAAAACATTTTTATTACAGTTTTTATTACGAGATTTAGTACACTGCGCTCTTGTTAAAAGTATTTTTGAAAATAATCTTTTGTTAAAACAACCTACCTGATAATTATGATAAACATTTTTGTGCAGAGCAAACAAGTATTACATAATTTTTGTTCCGCATAGTGGATTTTACATGATTCGGCCATTTCAAAGTGGCCAGACATATGAAACACTGTTCTTATGTACTGTATAATGCTAATATTAATGATTAAAGAACTAGTAGGTAACTTCCTACTGACTTTATCGCCTATTAGCCAGCTGGATGCGAAGAAATTAATTATGGTAGGAAGAAGAATTGCAATCCATCCGTCCCGTTGAAGCATATCCACTGCTTTGCTTGACACGGCTATCTGCAAAATTTCAAAGCTGCGTCAATATCTCTGCAGCATCTCCAAAAATAAAGAAAACTTTACATTCTACAAGTATTAAGGACTCAAAAACGGCTCAAAATTTAACTTAATTTTTGGAAAGTATTTTTGATTCTGTTCGAGTTTGTTAAATTCGAGAATGTTTATTTTTTACTGAGATACAAATATTTTCGTATACTTTGAGTGCTAAATTTTTTTCTTCTATTGCGTTTTCTGGCGAGTCGTGTTTTTGATCACTTCTTGCACGATTCAGAGCGAATCACCCTTTGAGCTACGGTACCAGGGTACCGTACACTTCTCCAGAACATCAATGGTCACGAACGTAAACTTGGACAAGATGATTTGAATAAGGCCCCAACACTTAACCATAATTTTTTTTTATTTTACGTTTTTGTAATATTATAGAGTCACAAACGTTTAGAAAGACCGGTGTCTTGGACGTTTTGAGATACACTGTTCCTGCGTTCGAGGAAAAAATAAAAAATTTTGGGTGGCGTATTAGAATGTTCTTCAATGCCGTCAAAAAATCGACTGTCACCTGTCCATGAAAGCAGCACAAAATATGTATAATCTTACGCTTCCGCTTCATATTTCCGCGCATAATAAAAATTGACACTGACCCCTGACACTGCTTAGTCGTGTCGCGTAGCTTAATATCGTTAAGAATAGTAATGATGAAATATAAAATGCAAAACAATGTTGTGAATCTGTTGATGAGACATTTCTATGAAAGACAACAAAGAATTATAATACAAAAAATGATTAGAATTACTCGGAGAATATATAGGGTTTTCTTTCATACCAATTCAAGATTTTTATAATGTTATATGTGTTTACACAATTGATCTGATAATGTAATTCACTACTTGCGGTTCAATCAACATGTTAATTTTTCTTTCAAAAATATACAAATTTTACAACTCTAACGAGTCATGCGATTTAATATATTCCTGATCGCAGTGTGGATAGTGACGGAAATTTTCTTCAAAATTATGGGATTGTTGAGTCGAGGCCACAGTCTCATCGATCTCGCTGAGTCTCACTTTATCAATAAAATTCAAGTACGACGAAACTCTAGTAAATCTTTCGTACGCTCCACAAAACATAAGGGACGAAGCACTGGTTATTCCAATAAGAATATTCGTATTATTAACAACGAGTGAGCCACCACTATCAGCCTGAGTGGGTTAAATATAAATAATTAAAAAAATCGTTTAAAAACTAATTGTAATACCTAAATTTGAACTTACGTCGCAAGCTCCTTCCAATTCTTCATCGAAGAAAGCACGACTCTCAAGGCAAATTTTCGTTTCGTCGCAACCGATAGGATCGGGAACATTTATAAAACCATAGGAATATTTTAGAAACGGGCTCGCTGGTCCTGATTTTATTCTACCTTCATTCTCGTATTGGTAATAAACACCGAAACCTGTGACGATGGCAGTTTGATTATTCGGTGGTAAATATTCATCGCGTGCGGGCAATTGAACCGAGTCTATGTATGGATGTTCATGAATTGGCAATGGACGTCGTAACTGCAGATTTTAGAAGTTTTTAATAATCTACCGTTACTAATAGATTTCGAATTTCCCACCTTTAAAATCGCTATATCATCATCGACCTGGCCTTGTTTATTAAGTGTATACGAAGTTGGCACGAATATTTCTTTGACGTCGTGATACACACCCAGGCTTTTATTGGCCAAGTCTACAGTACCAGCAACTACGGTAATTGGAGGACCATCAAATTTATAGGAACCATCAGTTACACAATGAGCTGCTGTTAAGATGTGATATTCATCTAGAATACTGCCACCACAAAAATGGTAGGTGCAATTCTTTTCAAAAATAAATTGTAGCGAAACTGCGTAAGGAAATTGGCCTGGCAGAGCAAAGTTGCCTTCGATGATTCGTGCTCTCTCTGTAACAGATATTATTAAGTAAATAAGGTATTCATTAACTTTAAATCACATGCTCGATATTTTTTATTGCTCGTGTTTGTACCGTTCTTAACAATATTTACGAGGCCCAGTCCAAAAATAAAAAAGATTGATATCTTTTCTTTCATCTTTAAAAAAGTTTATTTACAGAAATAAAATGTTAAAATGTTTCTTCGGCACTTTTTACATACAAACGCTAAAAACTTCTGACCGAACGTACAACCATTATTTCAAATTCATTTGAAAATTTTACCTTGTATGCCTCACGATTAGCAGTTTAGACGATAATAATACAATTATTTTAGCGTGCTCTATAAAATTTTATAATTTTGTAGAAAATGTAGGTTTTGATTTTTCATGAGCCACAGTACGGAAGTTTTGTTACATTTCTGGTAGAAAAATTGAATAAATTATAATATTTTATAAAGAATTTGAAATGCGTGAAAAGTTTAATATTATTTGATTATAATTACATTATAAGTAAAGAATTGATTGATTTTCCTATGATTTTTGGTCAATTATCATATTTGAACGTTGAAAATTTAATTCTGCAATTTTTCCACCATTTAATTTTTGAGAGAATGTGTGCGGTCAAGACGAAAATTCTTTGAACATAGTTGGTTTATTTATTGAAAATGTTAGCACTTGATTAGTTTCGACAAAAGAAGATTCCTAATTAACTATTCATCATTCTATAAATAATTGACTATGTTTAAAACAAAAAGTTGAATAAACACATTCCCTATCCCTTATTCTGTCCAATGATTTTCAACGTGCTGGAAGCAATGCGGATAATCGTTAAATGATCCTTTCAGATCCTCTTGTTTGGCTTCTTGACTCGAAATCGTATCATCAACCCCGCCGCTGGTTACTTTTTCGATGAATCCCAAGTACGGCGCGACATCGACAAATCGTTGATAAATTCCACAGATTGGATAATGCTCCGAAGTAGCTATTCCAATGAGAATGCTGTCATAATATTTTACGAGGGGGCCACCTTCGTCCCCCTCCACCAATGAAACACAGATACGTCGTTAGAAATTCTTCATTCGAGATCGATAACGCATTGATATCCAAAACTACACTTACATCGCAAATTCCTTCCAATTTGTTTTCAGTATCGAAACCATCACTTGTCACACATATTCGTCCATCTTGGCATTTACTAACGTCACGATCTTTCACGATGCCGCGAGCTGCTTTTAAAAAAGGACTCATTGGCCCGGACACGAGCTGCCCCACCTCATTGTGGAATTGTTGGTAAACGCCAAAGCCCTGCATCAAAACATTCGTGCCATATGTAAACGACGAATTCCCGGCTGGTGGCAATGTAACTGCTTCAAGATAGTACTTACGAAGTGGCAGCGGCCTCTTCAGCTGCAAATGGATCGAAGGTAATCAAAATCACACTTTCCCGATGAATTTACGAAAATTACGAAAATTGATCACCCTCAGGATCGCCACGTTGTCGTCGCTGAAATTGCTCCCTTTGACAACGAATATAGTTTCGACCTCGCGATCGACCGCACCTTCGTTCCTGTTCGCCAAATCGTCCGTACCAGCCACGACGGTGATCGGTCTGTCGAGGATCGTACGGTTATCCCGAGACAAGCACTTGGCAGCTGTCAAGACGTGTCTGTCGTCCAATATACTGCCGCCGCAAAAATGCCTCGAGCAGCCTTTCTTCGTGATGTATTGAAGCGAAACTGCGAATGGATGGAATAACCTGCGGCCGTTGATAATTCCGATGCTGTTTTCGATAGTGTAAAATAGATACAGTCCGAGAAGCAGGACCCAAGGTTTCATGTTGAAATAGTGCCAAATAAGTCGAGCGTATTTTTCACTTTGGCTTTTGCGCTGTACGTTCAATCAGTTGTCAGAGATATTTAAAAAATTTTACTATACTCAACTCACGAATATTTAATAAATGATAATAAGATAGTAATTTCCACGCATTCTTGATAAAAAAAAAATTATTTCGCTTGCATTCGTGTTTTTCGACGGTATTCGCGAACAAAAAAAATATGACTCGTTATATTGTCAAATCGTCTCGATGTTTGACGCGAAGTAAATGACGCGAGTAGTAAAGGTTATATTATAACGAAATAAACATGCATTCACTCTCTGTCCGGCGGATGCATCGATCGATTCATCGATCTATAGCTGCATAGAAATTCGAAAAAATATCCGCTAAGTGAATCGTCTCGCTCGTTCGAAGCGCGCACGTGCGCTGCACACGTATTATATTGACATCAAAGGGTGCCGCGCCGTGGCCAGCTGCAGCGATCGTTGATCGGATATATATATATATCTCTAGGCAAGTGCTGGAGAGAACTGCGTAATGCATAATTAAGCAAGCCGGTGACACAGAAAAAAAGAAACTTAGAGACAATTACGCTGTAGCAGTAGCAGTGCAAGGGAGTGCGGAGGGGAGTCGCGCGCAAGGCCATTATAAAGCTGCTGCTGCTGCTCAGAAAGTGTCGAGAAAAAAATGCGTCGCGCGCCTATATATATCTGCGCCCAACGCAGGGGGAAGGGCGAATCTTTTAGTTTGACGCACCATAAAGCACCGCGCTTATATATAAGTGTGTAGCGGCCCAAGGGCTACGGGCACTTACGTATTTTGCTCCGGGCTGCAAATATGTCAGCTCGATCATGAGGTCGGACGATTGCTCCGAACGAAATATCGACGCGACGATCGCGGGTAATGCTTTTTTAAATATCGATGCTGTATGCTCGAAGAGCGGAAAACTCGAGTGAACGTTTGATACTCAAAAAATCTCGTAATCGAAAGAATACCTCGAGGTTCAATCCATTTAAATTGAAGAATCAAATAATTTTTATTTTAAATTTAATGTACAATGTACGTTGCTACAGGCAACTACATATTTCGCCCTGCAATGAGGTGCTGTCGTCATTACTTGATTGCAGCCAATCCACCTGTAGTACTTAAAAATTAATCTTCTCTGTTTGACGCCTCGCTATATGCTTGTCCTCGTTGACGGAGCCGTCTTTCCTTGGGCCCGAATCTTGGTCGAAACTTTCAGCCGACTACTAACACCGTCGTGGCTGCGTAACTTGGCTAGCGTAAAATTCTCCGAACTAATTCTCGCGAGCTCTTTACCATTATATACGGCTCGAATCGATCCGGCCGCGCTAGTCGGTCTCGCTGCTGTTTTTCTACATCGTGTCAGCCGGATTTCCACTGGCCCACATAATTGCTTCGCAGCTTCGATAATGACCTGGAAACTCGTGCACTCACACATGTCCCTATATCGACGTTCCAGCAATACGACTTCGATATTTTGAATTTGAATAATAGTGTGCTCATCGACAAAAAAAAACGAAATTTAAAATCAGTTAAATTTAACAGCACCAGACGCTTGCTAAACAAATTGTCGAAATCGTTAAACAATCGAGAACTCGCGAAATAAACTCGGAAACGCAAAAATTCGCGTATATACCATGCTTCCGCCATGAAATCCTTTTTCTACGTTAATTACGACACAGATCCTATCCCGACAACGACATTCGAAGTCATTGTCACGTCTCTCTGTCGAATTAATCAGCTCAACAAACGTATAATGACGCGAAATCTCGACGCGTCTGTCGGACGATATTATAACGCTTGCATAGTATACAGGACTAGGTGTATACCCGTATTATATCCTATATATATGGGATATTAATCGAGCTTCGGTCCGGCACCATTACGCGCGACGTGTACACATGTGTTTATGTGTCTCTCTCTCTCTCTGCTCCGCAGGGCCGATACATATTACAGTATTCAGCGTATCTCTCTCTCTCTCTCACTTTCGCTCCATTATGCCGAGACGTACACATGGTGTGAATCGGGCCCCAAGGAGGTGATTATGATACCCCGAGCTACGCAGAGAGAGTCGCGTCGGGGGCCGGCTATATCGCTTACGCGTTTATTATTGCAGCGAATGGTAGTAGTATAGTAGTAGCTGCTGCTGCGACAACAACGACGATGATTGTAGCTGCAACGTCCTTGATTCCCTTGGGACGTCTCGGCCCTGATGCGGGTATGCAACGAACGTACGTATTAGCTACACCGTCGACGACGACGATGACCAACTGGCATTTCGGGGCTGTTATTCATATTTCGTTATTATGTATATAAATGCTCGGGTGCGCGAGCAAATAATTTATGACGTTCTTCGAGCGCGACTTTGACGTACGCCAGGGTACCGAGGAGAGGGGTGGGCCTTTATAATTAGCTTCATTAGCCGCGTCGACGAGAGATCGAGTGTCGACTTGTACCGGCTGGAGAATCGAGATTTTTCTTCGTTTGCTCGTCGAGAGAGCTGGCCAAAGTTCCATCAGGTTTTACGTAGGAGCATCGTCGTGTAGGAGCTGCTCAATTATCTAGCTGATAGTGATTTCTTTTACTTAGAGCAAGAGAGAGAGATAGGAGCGATTATTATTATTTACTATACATCCTTGGAGCTCGTATCTATCACGCAGCTGGGGGTTAAGGGGCAAGCAGCATCAAGAGCCAAAAGAGCTACTACTACTAGTACGTACGACGTGTATAAAAAGAATCACGAAGCCAGCGGCGGTGGTGGACAACGGAGGACCGACAAGGTGATCCTGAAACCGCTCGACATTCGTTCCTATCGCTAGCCCAAGACGACGACGATAATTCGTCTTTGTCTCTCGGAGAAACTTTAGCCGCACACCCTCTTGATCTTCTCTCTCTCGGTTTTCTACTTCTTCTTCTATTTCTTCTTCTTCTTTTTTTTTCCTCCAGGCTATCCGACGTATATGTAAGCTAGCGAAATAACGGATCGCTCGGTCGAGCAGATACACGCGCAACCCACGATAAGGGGCACTCGCACGGCGATATCAATTTGTCGTTAAATGATTTTTCGCTTCTCGAATTACTCGAACTAACGCACGTGTTGCGTATCGTGCGAAAGGTATATTACATGTAACAATGTAATCGAATCGGAGGGTGTTACAACGCGACGATTGCTTATTGGATAAAATTCGAAAATTTGCGTAACTCCATTATACGCTCGATGAATTAAAGTATATTCCGTCCATCTCCTCGATCTAAAGCTTTTTCTTACTCGAGAATGTGCGTGCGTTTGTGTATCATAGATACACAGAAGCTCACAGTGCACGGACTATCGAGCCTAGCAGCTGTATAGGAAATCCTCGAGATAGATATAAAGCTCCGACTGAGAGAGAGAGAGAGAGAAGGAAATCGCTCGATCGCACGACTACTATCTGGTCCTACACACACAGAGACGTTCCGGAACGCTGGCCGGAGTTTCGGAGAAAAAGGAAAGAGTAAAGCAGTAGCGATGTTATATAGCACATGTATATAGCCCATTGCCCATCAAGTGCTCGCCTATATATATAGGCTTGGGGGGTGGATTCACAGGCGCTTGCTCGCATGCCCTGTGCGGAGAGAGAGAGAGCAAACGAAAGAGACAGAGAGAGCGACCATTCAATTAGGATCGAGCCAAGTAATCCCTGATGTGCCCCGACTGGTTTCACTTCGTCTGATGTGTATACATACACACACACATTTGCAACAAGGACGCTAAGCGCGTACATATATATACAGCAGTGACAAGTAATAGATGTATCCTCGTCTGTGTATATATATGTGTCCTTTCCAAACTAAAATACGTATCTCTATAGATATATAAATCGTGTACAAGGCTTACGTATGTGTGTGTGTGTGTGTGTGTGTGTATGCGCTGCAGAACTATATCCTAGACGACGGCAAAGTGGAGAACGTTCGATGCTGCCTATATTGTACGCGAATTAATGCTATGTGTGTATCATACGAAGCGCAGCAGCCGCAGCCTTAATCGACGCGCGAGGACCTTCAGGATAAACCTTTTGCCGCATCTCGTCTCTCTCCTTCGCACCACCCCTCGCGAATTATGTATTAAAAGCACTTTCTGTCTCGTGCCTCGTGGAACTACAGCTAGATGTTCTATTTATAATACGTATAATCTTCGCGTTGACATTATTCGCAACGAAAAAAATCTCGCTTAACTTTGCTGTTCTCATCCCCCCCCCCCCCCCNCCCCCCCCCCCCCGGTCGACATATAGCGAGTTAAACGCTCAAAACGATTCTGGCAATATATATTTTATATGCTCATTCGAATGAATTCGTGCATCAGCGACGAATCCATCCAAATTAAGCCTTCATCAATCTCGAATGTATATCTTTCGGTCCGGGTCCGCGGCCCTACATATAATATAGCCACGAGCGCGCCGCACTCGAAATAAACACGATACGCAAACATATCCATGCCGTGCAGTTTTATTATTATATTATATGTGCTGATGCCGACCGCCGCCGCACTGCTGTTTGCCGAGCAATCGTGTTTTAATGTATGTACAAAGCGCGCAGGCAAAGAAAAAAAAATACAAACGTATCGCTTGCGTACACGCGCTCGCGTGGCAGCAAGTGTGTGTACACACACGCAGTGGCATTATACAAAAGCCACGCAGACTCGACACTTGATCAAATCTCGGCCGTTTCTAGGCCTCTCGGGACGATATTCTCCGCGTGTATACATCTTGGTCTCTCTCTCTCTCTCTCTCTCTCTCTCTCTCTCTCTCTCTGCGTGTTTATATCGGCCGCGAGCGATATAGATCGAATTATAATACGACAGTAGGTGGTAGTCGATTAAACAAAGGGTGAAAATTGGACGGGCGAGATTATAAAGCGCATACCCATAAAGTTGCTTTAGTACAGTCAAGTTCTCGTTTCTTTGATTAGTTCGCTTCTTTTTTTCGGTGTATAATATTCCTGAAGAACAATAAGTCTATTCATACCTCGTGAGCACTTGTGTGTGTATCATACTGTTAAAAATATAGTCGAGGGCCATTTTGTTAATTGATCGAGTGTTTTTTTTCTTACCAAACCAAATTCAAATTTTTAACAGTCCTCTACTTCTATATACTCGATAAATATCCAACACCGGTCGTGTATCTACTTATAACGCTTTATACACACGTTCAGAGAAAAAAAACCAGCTCCAGCCTTATAAATAAACGATGCAGCAGCCTAGCCTCGTAAACTCATGGAGAGATCGGTATTATAAAAATCCGCCGTGCGTATACGTACGAAAAAAAGTCGATTTACCCGATATATGCAGGGGGTGAAGGCAGCAGGGGTTAAAGGAGATATAAAAAAAAAAATATATACACTGTTTTTTGCTGCCGCGCGATATCGCGCGTATACGCTTTATTTTTTATATATACGATTCTCATCTGTAGATCGGTATTGGCATATTTCATGACTATCGTACGCGCTCTCTCGTACTATATAAAATGACAATTTTCTCTCTCTCCCTTACGGAAGAGAATCGCAGTCGTCGGCATCGTCGCGACGCGCGAAACAGCCACAAATTTTTTCCCTCTCAATTGCCAACACCTGCGACGCACCACCACTACCAACGTCGACGCGGCTTCTACTCTATTTTCTTTTTCTTTTTTTTTTCATCGTACGTGTATTTTACGTGCCAGCACGTAGCATCTTTTAAAATACGTGTCCTCTCTCTCTTCCTGTTTCGGCTCAAATTTACGCAAATACGTTATACGTGCACAGAGCAGCAGCGGGCGGCGCGTAATATGCAAATCTTTTTTGATAACGAAAATTAATGCAGATAAAAAATGCGCCTCGCCTGCAAAAAAGAAATACATACGTATCTCGAGCGAACGAGCTTTTTTAATCCCAGCATATTCAAGCTCATCTCTCTGCCAGTACTGTGCGCGCGAGTCCTTTTTCGGTTGTTATACGCGCGGTTTATATTTCCACGGCCCGAAACAAAGAACAACAACAACGACGCGACGACGCGGGACTATGAAAAAAAAGGGGCAGAGAGAGAGAGCGTAACCCCGCCAACGAAAAATAATGAGCGAAAAACAGCGAACCGCGCGCGTTTCGACAAAGATAACGCTGCTATGCACATCTCACGTACACACGCCGACACACACACACACACACACACACACTCATACGTGTAAACGAGTAGAGAGAAAGAGTGAGGGCAGAAGAGAGAGAGAGAGAGAGAGTGAGGGAAAGGGTCGTTGAATGCGGTTTAATATTAATGGGAACTGATGATAAGCAGGGCAAACAAGCGCGTCGAGTCTCTCCCGTGGGAGAGATCTGCCGCTGCTGCTGCCTTCTGTTTTCCCCCCGCTTCGACTGCTGCCAGTTCGCGAGCTTCGGATCTCGGCGGGGGGTCTCTCGAAACCACCTCCTACTATTCCAGCTCGTGTGCCCCCCTCCTCTACTACTCCGCAACGTTATATTGCCATTTAACAGAACTACACACACACTTCCCCTGCCTGCTAGTATCTCGCCGTGCCGAGACTGTATATATACTCTGTATTGCTGCGGGGTAATACCGTCACTACAATATATATATATAAATGTTGTTGTCTCCCTTGTTTTCTTGCACCCCTCCTATTATACATTATGCCGAGCGCTCTATAATATCGGCATATTTATACGCGTGTAACTGCGAATTAATATTTAATTTTGCCACGCACTATTAGTTATAGATATATATTATGCGGGTGTGTGCGTGTGTGTGTTGGGGTGATGCGCGCCCAACGAGCTGCGACGTCGATTACCGTGTAATAAGGCTGCATTATGCGCCGATGTTCACGCTATAATTCGATAGATCAATTTTGCTCGGATTCGATATGCGACTCGAACACGCGTTATAATGCCAAATCGATTCACGCGATTATTATCCATTGATAACGTCGATTTAGACACCGGAAAATGGCAATTTTGGTAAAACGATAAAGAAGTAGTTTTAATGAAATAACGTTGTATCGCACATGGGTGGTGAAAAGAAGTATCGATGCACTAATATCGACTGTATACATTACCTGTCATTTTATTCATTTGGAGCTCGAACGACTTGAACTTAAATGCTTATACAGCGTGTGAATTGGTTTACACCATTGTGTATACTGCATTGACGCCATTTCAAAAATATATTTTTCCGATTTGCGAATATTTCTTCGCAAGTATTGCACGAGCGACTAAGCTAATTGTGTCAATTAATGATATATTCATTAGCAGTTCCGGTCTAGTTTAAGATAACTTTATTTATCGAAGTATAAAACTGCGTTTAGCGAGTAGACTGTGGAGGGGAAATAAGCTCTATGAAAATCGCGGACTCGATTTACAAATATCCGAGCATTAGTGTTCAGTCGCTACGAAGAGCTTCATTTGTTCAGTAAGCGAGTGATTACAAATCAATGCAGATTCGAAGTATAGTTTGACTTATTCGAACTCGAGCATCGACGTAATAGGACCCCACTAAGACAACGTCGTCGGCCACTAGCACCTCCACCAGTTGCATTCGAAGAGGTTACTTGATAATATAATTTTACAATTCAAAATTCACAGATAGTAGGCCAATAATTAAAATTTCTTGTTATTTTTTTAGAGACCGGTAGCAGTTGACCCTTCGGATGACTGTAGAAGAGCAGGAAATGGAAAAGTTCGACTGTGCAAAGTCTACAATGTTTGGATTGATAAGGCCGCTTTAACCTATTTTCAACGTTGGCGTAATAATCCAAGGGAACTCACTAGGCGTTTGATGAAAAAACTAGTGGACGAACATAATTTGTTCGATATGTGCTCTCAAGGACGATCTCTTAAAAACGATGGAATACCCTTGGACATTTTTAGTACCGTTGAATGTAAGTATCAATACCACAAACGTATCATTCAATCATTTTAATAAAATATTATACTTTCCAGACTACGTCAACTCCAATTGTACATATCCATTGGACATTGTCGATTTTACCAACGTCGTCAACAATATGTGCACATCATCCCTGCAGATGAATTTTTCCTTGTTTCTCGTTTTATTTAACTTTCTATTGATCAAACTTTGATATTCAATTGAAATACTTTAATTTCTTAACGATTACCAATTTTTTTCGTTTATGAATAAAACTTAGATTTAATAAATAAATGGTTTAAATTCTAAATTTCAATTTTTAAATTCATTCCTGCTTTCAAATTACTTTTTTTTGATAAAAAATCGAAATAATAATAATTTCAAATAATTTTTTTGATAATTTAAAAATTTTATTGGCAATATATGGGCAATGAATTTGCGATATATGCGCGGGTGTCCGTACGCCTATATAGTTGCAATATATCTTGGCGAGTCATTGCCGATATATTGCAAATATTAATCGCCAATATATTGCACATATATTGCCGATTGTTTAGATTTATACGTGGAAGGTTTATAAATCCCCAGTGATAAAGCATAATCCAACGTTTCTTGAAATTTTCTGTCTCAAAAATCTGGCGAGCGTCACCGGGCTAGATATTTCGCTAGTAATATGTAATCAAGCAAGTGATAAATAGTAGAAAGGACACATTCAGGTACATGTATTACTTTTTTTATGCATTATACTTTTTTTAAGCGATCGGTTGATCAAATATCATTGAACTTTATCAAAATATATTTCAAGAATACAAAAAGTTTTACAAATTGGAACTTCTATTTTCAATTCTTTTAAAATCATATAACACGATATAATTATTATAAACGTTGTAAAAAAAACGAAAATTGATTCTTTGGTTCATTCTGTTATCATTACACATAATATCAATCACATCAAGATCACCGATCCTCTGCCGTTATAGTTTGTAAGCTTTGTTCAAATAGTATTGAAGTCTTTATGTTTATAATAAAGTCTTGTGTGTGAACCAGACTCGAGCATTATACACTTATTTCATGTTCCTACCCTCAGAAATCAACAGTAACAATTAATTCAAAATAATAAAGTTATTACCCACATGCTAAAAGGCATATAACACCAACATCGTTGTTTTATTCTACCTATTGCCTAAGCCGATCGAAAGGAGAATTTCCGTAGTTTATTATATTCTATCTCTCTCGTACAAGCTTTCTTTCGAACGAATAATCGCAATACGTCTATTTCGACGACGAGATCAACTCTTCACCCTTTTAAGAGAAAAAAAATAGTACAGTAGAGAATAGTTGTCTAGCACGCATCAGTGTCGCTTCGTAGGAAGTGCGGGCGCTGACTGATCTTTCGAGACGATGTATCATTAGAAAGAAAAAAAATATCTTCGCCGCATCGAGCGGACAGCGGAATCGGTCAAAGGGCGATTTGCGTACATTTAAATACTCCATCTCTGTAGCTCTCGTATCTGCATACGCACCTCTTTGTCTTCGCGACTCGCACTCATTTCGCTCTGTTAGACCCCCCACACACACGCGCGCGCGCGCACACACAAAGTCGAGTAGTCCGAGCTGCCGCTACTTATGTTTGCGCTTTATCAATATTGGACGCGATACATGCCAAATTAACGAGAGCAGCAGGCCGCGTATACGTAGCAGTAGTATTATATAGTATCGCGGCGAGCGAACGAGAGCGAGAGACAGAGAGAAAAAGGTATATATGTATGTACGGCAGTTTATACTTGGCATGCGCGCAGCAGCGGCAGGCGGAGGCGATCGAGGGAGGCGGGGGTGGACTCATATAACCGCTCGATTGCCCAACGAATTATTAATCGTATATATGGGCGCATGGCGGAGAGCAGAGCAGCAGCGGCAGCAGCAGTAAAGCAGTGGTAGTAGCGCGCTTTTCGCTCTCCACTACGGAGAAGCGCAAATATTGGCGAACTCGCGGACCGCGCCGACGTGTATTTTAAGGAGAAATATTATTGACGACGACGACGACGATCAATTTTCTCTGGTCGAGATCCTTTTCTAATGCTCCAGGGCACTTTTGTGCCTACAATATTTGTGAGGAATGTGGCGTACGATCAATTGACGATATATTATTGTTTTGGTTCTGTCGTTCTCAATGTATGTTTCTATTGCCTATACTGTGTTCATCGTATAACTTGTAAATATTGTGACTTAGGGCAATGTCTAGACGATACAAAATCATAAAAACTATAAAACTGAAAAAATAATTCATATCTCACAAAAAATCAAATATAAGATTTACACATTGTACACACGAGCACAAAGTAAGAAAAGTAAAAAATGATCATTACTCCTAACTTTATACTTTCAAGTACGCTGATAAAAGAGAGAAACAGAGGCAGAGTCAGAGAGAGAGAGAGGAGGTCTCGGACTATGGGGCACAGAGGGCAAAGAAAAGTTTGTTAAAGCAATGAGCGTAAAATAACGTAATTAAAAGTAGGTAAGTCTGGTAGTTTAAGTAATATTCATCCTATTACGTAATTAGTCGAGAAGTCAATATTAGCGGAGTGGAGCAGCAGCAGCAGCGCCGCGTGCACCGCCACACCACCGTCGCCGCCGCAGCAGCAGCAGCACCGCCGCCGCCGCTTCTACCGTCAAGCGCCGCTCTACTGTGTTGCTGTAAATGAGCAGTAAAGTAATTGGAAGACTAATTAAAGGAGCGAGAAAGAAGGATGTTCTTCGCTGCGGACTTCGTTCGTACGGCCATGGAGCTAAGATAAAAAGTTACATCTTTCTCGAGTGTTGGACTTTTAGAAATCGCGTATAATATACATAATGTATATCGTTTCTTCTGCGCAAGCTCCTCTTCGTCCAATCTCTTTTCTTTTTTTATATTTTATTTTTATGTTTTATTCTACGCGTATCGTAAAGTAACGTTAACAGTCCCCGCGTTCAAATTGCGATAAAATTTTCACACGCGCGTATAACACCCAGGCCGCCACGCAAGATGCGTTAAGGAAAAATGCGTTCACGGTTGAATAATGTAGCAGCAATCACCGAGACACGCACACACGTGCGCCTCGTATACGCGAGCTTTTTCTCTTTATATTATATATATCTCGCTGCTTCTCGTACAATTAGTTTTGCCCGCACCGATCATACACACACGTATACGCGCACACTGATTGTCGAGGCAAAAGTTAAGGTATACATAAGTATAATACGAGTATATAGGGAAGGGATAGTGTAGATAAGTGCGTGTACGAGTGTGCGCGCCTACCCCTCCGCGCTTATAATTAGTTAAGCGCTCGCATACACGCGCCCATATTATGATACTCGGGACGGATTTTATACATTGAGCTTGCGCACTCGAGTGTTCGTGTGTATATATATATATATATAGCAGAGCTTGCAGTGTGTGTATGCGCAATGTAACGTCTATCGCAGCGCGAGAGGTAAGGGGAGGTAAGAGGGAGAGAGAGAGTAGATTCCATTATTTAACCGAACGGTAGTTTAGGCGGGTATTAAGGGTTTGAGTTTATGACACCCCCCCGCCTCCCCAAGTACCGCTGCTGCTACTGCTGCTGGGCCCCGGATTGCCTATTAATACGATATGAGCTTTATCCCGCGCGCTTCTTATTCTTCTTCCTCGCTCGCTTCTTCTTCTTTTTTTTTTACTTACCCCCCCACGCTGGTACAGCTATCTACCTCTGCCGCTACTGCGCTCGCTTTATTTTCACCTTTTTCTTGTTTCTAGCTTTCTCTCTCTCTCTCTCTCTCTCTCTCTCTTTTCTCGTTTCACCTTATCAAAGGCATGTGTGCTGCAGCAGCAGCGTCATCGGTACTTTTCTTGCACTCGCTACCGCAATATCGCTTCCTTTTTTTTATTATAGTTTCGCTCGAGCTTTTATTCTTTCTCTCTTCTTTTTCCTTTTTTTTTCTACCTCTCTTGTCTCGACGCACCACCGTGTATAGCGTATCCCTCCTTGCGCTCGCGCGAGAGTCTCCGTTCTCTCTCTCTCGTCTTCAATTTGCATACACTTTGCGTTACCGGCGCGCGCGAGAATTTTCCTTCCCATCGGAGAGAGAGAGAGAGAGAGAGAGAGAGAGAGATAGAGTCGCGTTATTTTGCTCCGTTGTCCTCTTGAATNGGGGGGGACGCGGTTATTCTGTCGCGCTAGTAAAATTTTCCTCTTCCTCTATCCCTCTCGGAGTTTATATTATTATTATTGCAGCAGTGGTATATAAGCATGAATGCTCGGAGAAATTATATTCCACGCGCGTTATATACTGGCTCGAGTTCGCGGAGGCGTACCGAGAGAAGCTTTTCGTATATAATATATATGGCATATATATAAAGAGACTACAAATTTGTTAATGGTGCGCGGCGCGAGCCGAGGCCTCTAAAGTTTATAAATGGAACAATGAGCGCCACTGAGATATATATCTAGACGACACTGAGAATTTTTGCGAGACGCGAGTGAGAAAAATAACGGACGAAAGTTGCAAAGTAAGAAGAAGAAACCTGTATTGCGTTGGATAAATAAGCTATCGACACCTTTCCCCTTTGTTTTATATACGACGATGATGGTTCGAGAATACAACTCGAGTGCGAGAAAGAGAGCGACGGCCCGACAAAATGTGTTGCATTATGCAAGAAGAAAACATCGCGTCGATTCGTAGAAAAGTAAAAGAGCCTCTTTACTTATACACTTCAGGTACTGCGGGAAAGAGACTCCAGAACGAGTCAAGGCTTTGAAATCTCCCATCCGTAGGGCACTTAAAGTATTTATTAAAATACTCGCGCACCAGCAACAGCAGTAGCAGCAGCAGCAGTACAATATATATAGGCGAGAGAGTAACGAGATTTTCTCGTTTATATCTCGGAAAGTGCACGATGAGTTAAGATGTGTATACGTCTCTGTGCTGCTCTTATATACACATACACTTTGACTGCTCGATGTTTTGGTATGCTATATGGGTGATGTCGTGGCTGAAATGGTGGATTTTCGAGTCACAAGGTTTTTGGCATCTATGGCGATAGTGTCACCTAAAAAATCAAGACAAACAGTGAGATTGATTTTTAAAACCTTTAAAATCTTACCTAGTACAGGTCATTTAAACATCATTGTATTATTGAAATGTATAAAAAATTTACTCGCTTCTCTGCAAGCAGATAATATGATAATTACCAAACTCTCTATCAACTTTTCCATTGATAGGGCATGCGTTCGAACATAGGTAAACCGCTCTGTCCGGTTTCGATCGAATTCTTTTTACAGCTCTAAGTAAATAGTTCATGAAAATGTATACCTATACGTTTGCAAACTAAGTTAATTGAGAAATTTGTTCAAGCTGGATTTTTTGAATTAAGAAATCTTGAATTACGTGAAATAAAATAATTGAAGGAGAAGATTAGATTAAAAAATTAAAGAAATAAAACGAACAGTGTAGGGTTTAAAAAAATCTTCTAAATAGTTCTATTTATACGTGAGTTTTAGTTGCTCGAGGCAAGTTAATTTCGTTTTTACCTTCGATGACTGCACAATACCATGGGACTGTTCGAACTTTGTCTCAGTTAAGATGACTTTTGACATTTAGCACATTCATACAAATCGTGCCTCAAATTAGGATTTGTTGCTATTCAACACGAAAAAATCACTGACATAGCCCTTTTGACTTTTATAAAATTTTTTTCGAAATACATTATGTAGTTCAAAGTATCTTTGTTCGTCGTGATCAGTTGTTTTGTGGTTAGTCAAGTTATCTTTTGTCATACATACTTCTGGAACATACTTTATTTGCTCTTCATGTACTAATTTTTGGGGTTCCTCTCCATTAACTGGGTCTGAAAATTTCTGACTCACGTTGCATTCCAAGTCTTTTCGTCCTGGGTGGACTGTTCTCTGGTATCTTATCAAGTGGATCTTCTGCGTAAACGCTTTTGGACACAATTTGCAATAGTAGTCTCTTCGTCCTTCATGAACTGATTTTTGGTGTTCCTTCAAATTGTCCGAACAAGAAAATACTTTTTGACACAAATTGCATACGTAGTCTTTTAGTCGTTCATGAACTGATTTAAGGTGTTGTTTTAAAATTGATTTTCTTGTAAATGCTTTTTGACACACGTCACATTTATAATCTCTTAGTCTTTCGTGAATTGTTCTGTAATGTCTAATCAAGTTGATCTTCTGAGTAAATGCTCGTTGGCACTCATTGCAAACGTAATCTCTTCGTCCTTCATGAACTGATCTTTGATGTTTCTTCAAATTGCTCGACTGATAAAATACTTTTTGACACACGTCGCACTCGTAATTTTTTTGTCTTCCATGAACAGTTTTGTAGTGTCTCATCATATTGCACCGGGTTGAAAATGCTTTTTGACAAGCGTTGCATTTGTAGCATTTTCGTCCTTCGTGAACTGTTTCTTTATGTTCCTTCATATGGTTCTGCTGCGCAAATCTTTGCTGGCACACGTCACATTCGTAGTCCCTTCGTCCTTCATGAACTGATCTTTGATGTTGCTTCAAATTGCTCGACTGATAAAATACTTTGTGGCACACGTCGCACTCGTAGTGCCATCGTCCTTCGTGAACAATTCTGTGGTGTCTTATCAAGTTCATCTTCTGAGTAAATGCTCGTTGGCACTCATTGCAAACGTAATCTCTTCGTCCTTCATGAACTCCTCTAAGATGAAGTTCCAAGTGCTGTTTTGATTTAAACGTTTTTTTGCACACGTCGCACTCGTAGTCCCTTCGACCTTCATGAACTACTCTAAGATGAAGTTCCAAGTACTGTTTTGATTTAAACGTTTTTTTGCACACGTCGCACTCGTAGTCTCTTCGTCCTTCGTGAACTGTTTTTTTGTGTACAGTCAAATTGTTCTTTTTTGAAAACGTTTTTTGACAAACGTCACACTCGTAGTCCACTCGTCGTTCCTGAACTACTTTTTTTCCTTCGTGAATAGTTTTGTTTTCATGTATCATGACTAATGCTCTTGTCTTTTTGCTGACATCGCTGAAATAATTTTTACGCCCTTGGTGGACCGATTTTATTTGTGTAGCCGAATGATCTCTCTCAAATTTTTCTGGTTGCAAGTCGAAAGCATAGTCGTTTTCTTTGACCTTATTCATTATTGTAATTCTTCAATCTCCATTAAAGTATTCAATAATTTTAACTTTCGTAACTGACAATTCCGAAAAAGGTCGTGGCTGGTCGGTATAAAGATAAAATTATCAATTTCAAATGTACATCCATCAACGGACAATTAATAACTAATTTAAAAATTTCATTCTCATGTTTTCGTAAATAAAATCTGTCTGCGTTTGTTTATATTTAAAGTCAAAATCAATCGAATTTTCAATTGTGCTGTTTGCTATTGGCTATTAGTTGTACACAATACTAATGTCGCAGACTAAATTGTGTCTTTGCTATAGAAATTAAAACAGCTCAATGAATATTGAGAAAAAGTTTTTTTGATTGATCTGTTTAGTTTTAAGATTATAGTTTAAAAAATGATTACGATTTTCTTGTCATTATTAAAAAATTTTTTCCCTTTCTTTTTTCCTGATTTTTTTAGGATTGAAACGCATGTCTAACATTTTAACGAATAATTTTTTAAAATGGACAGTCTAGCTTTAAATAAAAAGTTACACCGTGAAGAAGAAAAATGCTTTTATCTTCATTTCTTTCTTGTAAATTTGCTGCAGCTGGGTCGCTTTGGCTACCATCGTTTGAAAATTCAAATAATTTAAAAATTTTTTCGAACTTAGGTTTTCTGGGCTGAACGATCTTGAAAAAAAAGATAAAAGGAAAAGATCAGATTAAAAAATTAGAGCAATAAGAAGAACAGTGTGGTATGTAATAAATAATAAATAGTTTTATTTATTATAATACATTTTTAACACTCCATACGTGGTTTTTCTAACTTTTCACAAAAACCACGTTTATGCACGAAATATTAAATAATATGGTAAGTCACTAGTGCGCGAGGAGTTGACTCACCCATCATCATCTTACGTCTTTTTTCACGCATATACTATCGTACATGAATTTTATTTGCGCGAGACAAGTTTGCACATTTTGAGGTGCAGCATATAGCCTATTAGCGAGTTAAAAATCTGATTTACACTGACATTTCCGCCGAGTTTACATACATATTTACATGATCAATTTCATGAAGTCAATTCTAAACCTAAATCCATGATTTTTTAATAACGAGTTCCTCGTTTTTTAAATAATACTTAAAATTGACTACGTTAATTATTGAGAATACAATATAATAATTGAATCATAAAATAAAGTGTACGTGCTTTAAAAATATGAATTCGTTTTTACATTCGATGACAGCACAATAACATGTGAATGTTCGTACTTAGTCTCTATTTAAATATCTTTTGAGATTCAGCACATTTATTTAAATCATGCCTCGAATTAAGACTAGTTGTTCATTGACATAATATCGCTGACATAGCCTTTTTGGCCTTTATAAAATTTTTTTCGAAATACATTATGTACTTCGAAATATCGTTGTTCGTTGTGATTAGTTATTTTTTGGTTGGTTGAGTTATCTTTTGCCGTACATACTTCTGGAACATATTTTTTATGTTCTTCAAGAACTAGTTCTTCGTGTTTCTTTTCATTATCCTGCCCAAAAAATAATTTCTGGCTCGGGTTGCACTCAAAGTCGTTTCGTTCTTCGTGAATTTTTCGGTGTCTCGTCAAGTTATTCTGATATGCAAATGCTTCTTGACACACGTCGCACTTGTAGTTCTTTTCTTCATCATGATCTGTTCTACGGTGATGCTTCAAACTGTGCCATTGAGAAAACGTTTTCTGACACTCGTTGCCTACGCAGTCTTTTCGTCCTGCGTGGACTGCTCTCTGGTGTCTAATCAAGTGGATCTTCTGCGTAAACGCTTTTGGACACAATTTGCAATAGTAGTCTCTTCGTACTTCATGAACTGACCTTTGATGTTCCTTTAAATTGTCCAGACGAGAAAATACTTTTTGACACACATTGCATACGTAGTCTTTTAGTCGTTCGTGAACTGATTTAAGGTGTCGTTTTAAAATTGATTTTGTTGAAAATGCTTTTTGGCATATGTAGCATTCGTAGTCCTTTCGTCCTTCGTGCAATATTTTGTGGTGTCGTTTTAACATGAATATTGTTGAAAATGCTTTTTGGCATATGTAGCATTCGTAGTCCTTTCGTCCTTCGTGAATTGTTATTTGATGTCTTTTCAAGCTGTTCTGCTTCGTAAATGTTTGCTGACACACGGCGCATTCGTAATCCTTTCTTCCTTCGTGAATTGTTTTTTTGTGTTCCGTCATATTAATTTTTCGTGAAAACGTTTTTTGACAAACGTCACACTCGTAGTCCACTCGTCTTGCCTGAATTACTTTTTTTCCTTCGTCAATAACTAACGCTCTTGTCTTTTTGCTGACATCTATGAAATAATTTTTTCGTCCTCGGTGGACCGATTTTATTTTTGTAGACGAAGGACTTTCTCTTTCAAATGTTCCTGCCCACAAGTCGCAAGTGTAGTCATTTTCTTTAATCTTATCCATTAGTGTTGTTTTTCGATCTCTATTAAAATGTAAATACTGAAGATTTCAAACAAATTCTAATCTGGTCTGTATCGAGACAAAATTACTAATTTTAAATGTACATTTAACAATGGACTTTTAATAACTGATTTAAAAATATTATACTCGTGTTTCCGTTTGTAAAATCTGTCTATGTTTGTTTATATTTAAAGTCAGAAACAATCGAATTTACAATTGTGCTGTTTGCTAATCGCTATTAGTTGTACACAATACTAATGTCGCACACTAAATTGTGTCTTTGCTATAGAATTTAAAACAGCTCAACAAATATTGAGAAAAAGTTTTGTATTGATCTGTTTAGTTTTGAGATTATATTGAAAAAAAATGATAACGATTTTCTTGTTTTTATTCAAAATTTTTTCCTTTCTTTTTTCCTGTTTTTTTTAAGAATTGTTATTTAGTTAATTATAAAGATAGAAAAAAGCGTCACTGTGAAGAAAAAAATGGTTTTTATCTTAAAATTAAAATTCGCTAAGTCTGGGTCGCTCTGACTACCTACGTTTCGCGAGACAAGTATGCACATTTTCTTGTGCACTATTGTGTATTAGTGATTTAAAAATCCGATTTACAATTACATTCCTCGGCCAGTTTATATATTAACATGATAACGTTCATGTAGTCAATTCTAAACCAAATAACATCATAATAACGAGTTCTTCGTTTTTTAAATGACTGCATAACATCATGATCACTGTGCCTCTGCTTTTTTGACTTTTGACATTTAGTTAATTTATAAAACTCTTGCCTCGTATTAGGATTCATCGCTTTTTAACACAACGTCGCTGACATAGCCTTTTTGACTTTTATAAAATTTTTTTCGAAATACATTATGCAATTCAAAGTATCTTTGTTCGTCGTGATCAGTTGTTTTGTGGTTAGTCAAGTTATCTTTTGTCATACATACTTCTGGAACATACTTTATTTGCTCTTCATGTACTACTTTTTGGGGTTCCTCTCCATTAACTGGGTTTGAAAATTTCTGATTCACGTTGCATTCCAAGTCTTTTCGTCCTGGGTGGACTGTTCTCTGGTGTCTTATCAAGTGGATCTTCTGCGTAAACGCTTTTGGACACAATTTGCAATAGTAGTCTCTTCGTCCTTCATGAACTGATTTTTGGTGTTCCTTCAAATTGTCCGAACAAGAAAATACTATTTGACACAAATTGCATACGTAGTCTTTTAGTCGTTCATGAACTGATTTAAGGTGTCGTTTTAAAATTGATTTTCTTGTAAATGCTTTTTGACACACGTCATCTTCATAATCTCTTAGTCCTTCGTGAATTGTTCTGTAATGTCTAATCAAGTTGATCTTCTGAGTAAATGCTCGTTGGCACTCATTGCAAACGTAATCTCTTCGTCCTTCATGAACTGATCTTTGATGTTGCTTCAAATTGCTCGACTGATGAAATACTTTGTGGCACACTTCGCACTCGTAGTGCCGTCGTCCTTCGTGAACAATTCTGTGGTGTCTTATCAAGTTTATGTTCTGAGTAAATGCTCGTTGGCACTCATTGCAAACGTAATCTCTTCGTCCTTCATGAACTGATCTTTGATGTTGCTTCAAATTGCTCGACTGATAAAATACTTTGTGGCACACGTCGCATTCGGAGTCTCTTAGTCCTTTGTGAATTATTTTCTTGTGTATATTCAGATTGCTTCGCGCTGAAAATTTTTTACGGCACATGTCGCACTCGTAGTCCTTTCGTCCTTCGTGAACTGATTTTTGATGATTTCTCAAGTTCTGATTTGTTGCAAACTTTTTTTGGCACACTTCGCATTCGTAGTCTTTTCGTCCTGCGTGAACTGATTTTTGATGATTTCTCAAGCTCTGATTTGAGGCAAACTTTTTTTGGCACACTTCGCATTCGTAGTCTTTTCGTCCTGCGTGGACTGCTCTCTGGTGTCTAATCAAGTTGGTCTTCTGAGTAAATGCTCGATGGCACTCATTGCAAACGTAGTCTTTTAGTCGTTCATGAACTGATCTTTGATGTTGCTTCAAATTTTTTATCTTATTCATTATTGTTGTTCTTCGTTCTCTATTAAAATATTTCACAGATTTAACTGCAGTAACTGAAAATTCCGAAAAATTTCGCGACAAAGTTACTTATTTAAACGTACATCTAACAACGGACTTTTAATCACTGATTTAAAGATATCATACTCATGTTTTCATTAATAAAATCTCTCTGTGTTTGTTTATATTTAATGTCAAAATCAATCGAATGTACAGTTGTACTGTTTGCTAACGGATTTTAATTATACACATAATATTAATGCCGTATACTAAATTGTATCTTTGCTACAGACAAAGAAATCGAAACCCATGTGAATTTCACGAACTCAGTAATAAATTATTTGGAAATTTTTCACATTAATAAGATGATCTATAATCCAAGGGCTTTCCTAATGTTTTTGAACTGTGGTTTGAAAAATGGACAACCGAGGTTTAATTTAAAAATAAACATGTTAGGATTTATTTATTATTTTACTGTTTACAATCGTGAAAAAAAATATTTATCTTCTTTTTTGGTAAAATTAAATTTTTTTTCAAAGGGTTACATATTGTTTCATTTATTGTTTTTTATACCAGCAGCCTGAAAGTGACCACTTCTCTGCCGTTGCGCAAAGTGGAAAGAGCGATTTTCGGGCCACTGGGTAGAAAAAAACAGTATATTGGCCTAAGCAGCGAAAAAAAAGCCCCAGAGCACGTGTTTATCGCTAAATACAAGTACCCTGGGACTTTTCTATTTTTCGTGGCCTATGATAGTAATATACTATTTTAATTAATGACATGAATTTTAAAGATTCAGCTAAGCTTGAATTAGAGATCTAAAACGTTAAGATTTATCGATTACTCAGAAAATTACATCGTGAAAATGAAAAAAATATTTTTTTTTATATTTTTCGGAAATTTTAATTCTCTCCATAATAGGGCTCAAGTTTGAAAAATTGCTGCTTTGCCGATGAAATGCTGGGAAAATGGAAAATTTTCGAAAATCTGACCCCACCATCGACTAACTAAGGTAATTTTCCATCGAAATGATAAGTCAACTTTTTCTTCTAGGTTCATTTAGGTACTTGTACAGCGAGTTAGAAATTGCGAAATTTCGCCAAATAATGCCGCGCGAGCGAGCCATTGGCGATTCGGCGCGAAATGGATCGATCAGTCGCCAAGCAGTCGCCGTACAGGTCACAACGTCGCAGCTTAAACAACTCAAGAAGACTATCTACATCGATTGCCGCGAGTGCATTAAAACTAAAAAAAAAAAAAAAAATAGAAAAGAAATTGTTATTTCGTCAGCGTCCGAGTTACGTGCGCGTGAACGATGTCCGACATAAAAGCATTACGCGTGCTACGCAAAAAATTCGATTTCGATAACGAAGAAGATAGACGAAAATTTGTTAAACGGTTGGAGAGCTGCATTGAAAATTGGACCGTTTCGATTGAACCAATCTCTAGTTTGAATCTTACTTCGGAAGATGTAGATAACGACTGTCTTTTCGCGAGAGTTACCAGGAACAGTCAACTTCCTGACTTGAAGCTTATATTGGAAAAAGAAGAGATCGACCGTCTTCTCACGGACGCTTTGTACGGAAAAACCAGATTTATGTGGTTGGCGATCAAGACCTTCTTCAGGGACGAGCCCGACCTCGATGGCGACGGCCAACCAGTGACGCGTCGAACCACCGCGCTGCATCGCGCGGCCAAACTCCATCGCCGACTCATCCGCCAAGAACCACCGAGGATCGTTGATCACGATGATATCCTCGACCAACTCATCCGTCGAGGATCATCGACGATCGTCAACGATCTCTTTCTGGTGTACAACAACTACGAGGCCAACTACGTCGACGAGGACGGACTGACGCATCTACACGTGGCCTGCCTGTTCGGCTGCGAGGACGTCGCGAGGATGATCTTGAAGCACGGCGCGGATCCCAATTGCCGAGTGACCAGTACGGGCTGCACGACGCTGCACCTGGCCTTGCGGATGCCCGGCCAGGGCAACGTTCATCGCCACCGCCGAGGCGACATGGTCAGGCTACTGCTGCAACACGGCGCGGATCCCAATCTGGCCGACGAGCGGGGCAGGACGGCGCTGCACTGGATCTGCGAGGAGCTGGGCGACGATTGGTACTTGGCGCTGACGATGCTGGAGCTCTGCGACAAAAGATTCAGGCCGGTGAAGCTGGACGCGAAGGACAAGCGGGGCGACACGCCGTTGGGCTTGGCCATGGAGAGCGAGAACGAGTTGATGGTACGGCTGCTGCTGAAGAACGGCGCCGATCGAACGTTGATCGATAGCAAGGAGGATGTCATAAGCCGCGAATTGGCCAAGTGCGATCGTTTTGCAATGGTCTCGGACTCGGACGAATAGATCGAAAAAATGTTAACGTCCAGCAGCTGCTTCATGTGTAATTGTTCATAATTAATTTTAAAAATTAGCGATATATATTAAATTTCGGTTTGTAGATGACATACTCGAGGCGAAAAACTTACGATCGAGCTGCTCTCGTGTCAGTTGTAATATATTGTAAACAAAAACAAAGATCCCCGCTCGGCATAGCTCGTACAACGTGACGATCCGTTGAGTTCAGTTAGCTCCCGACCGGCACGCAGATCGATTCCAGCAGTTTTACGCGATTTATCTCGTAAAGTTTTATGTAAGCAAGTTGTCGTCGGGCGCGATCGATTTCGAAAGAGAAAAATTAACCGGGCCACAATCGAATCCACGATGAATAGCTTCTACGAAAACGATGAAGAGTCCTACTTCGAAGAGTTTCCCCTCCCAGGCCAACCGAAGCGCCGACGAGCTAGACCACCGCCGGCGGACTTCGTCATGGCCACCGTCATCCGCAGGGCGAGAATCGCCGAGCTGCTGCGCCACTGGAATCTGTCGTTCAGCGGCGATCACGAGACCGACCAAGCCACCTGGGAGTTCCTCGTGCGACTCGGGCAATTCTTTCGCTACTACGCGGGAGACTACGACTTCGGCCACCAGCACGAGATATTGATCGCGCTGCCCTGCGTCTTCGACGGTCCTGCCTTGGAGTGGTACACGGCCTGGAGGCCGATGCTTCGCACCTGGCGAGACTTTCGCGAGGCGTTCGAGGCGCGATTCTGCGATCACTATCGCGAGATCGTCTACGACTGCAGGCAGAGGCCGGGCGAGAGGATGTCGGAGTTCGTGGCCAGACTGCGCGACGTCGTCTCGAGGGTCCGTCACCCGTGGTGGCGCAGCGACAAGGAGCTGGTCGAGCTGGCCTTCAACAACGTCCTGCCCGAGTACCAGGACTGGATGAAGCGCTTCGTGTACAAGATCGACAGCCTCTCGACGCTCGAGGATTACGGCCGTCGGTTCGAGCTTTTGGAAAAAGAGGATGATGAGGAGAAACTGGAAAGTCCACCTGACTTGAAAAGTAAGGTAAACCTCGATGATGACGCGACGACGACAACTTCGCCTGGAAATAACGAAAAATAATTGGACAATAAGTATCGCTTATTATTATCGCGCGTCGCGTAGACCGTCCGTTCCGGCTCGATATACAAAAATATATTTGTAAACATTGAACGATTGGAGCTAACGAGTGTGTATTCTTAGAATATTTATTTTAAACTTTTGATCGTATTTAACTGAACGAATGAGATAAACAATTAATGTAAATACATGTACGTGTGAATGTAAATTTAAAAAAATTTTAAATTTTTAATCGTAATTAACTGATCGAATGAGATGAACAATGAATATACATGTATACGTGAATGTAAATGGGTCAAAATAATACTTTTTTACAAAACCGTGCGCACGTATATCACCGATCTTGACGCGCTTTTGGTATGTTATAGTACATGGTAAAAAGGTCCCAAAAAAAAATTTTTAGACCCCCTCCCCCCTCCTACCCCCCACTTCCGGTATAAACGTCCATTTTCGATCTATATTTTTTCTGAGGACATGAAGCAAGTAAAAAATCTGAAAAAATTCATAAAAATACTTTTCCACAATCCAAACAACCTTGAATTTTTTCAGATTTTTTGAGTGCTTCAGGCCTTCAGATAAAATCATTGAAAATTTCAAAAATCGAGATACGGCGGTATGAGCCGATGTAGTACTCGGAAATTTTTTCAGTTATTTTTCGCATTAAAAAACATAACCTCAATTTTTTTCAGATTTTTTCAGATTACCTAACGCACCTTTTGAAGCCAAAAACCGATTTTTTTGACGAAAATAATTTTTTTAGGACAGTACGGAGCCTCGAAAAATCTGAAAAAAATTTTTTCTTGTTTTTTTCATCAAAATACGTAATCTCAAATTTTTTCAGATTTTTTAATTGAAGGCGATAGCTTCTAGGGCCGAAAAATGCTATTTTTAACAAAAAATGGTTCCTAGAACCCGATGGTTCCGGTGAAAAAATTTGAAAATATTTTTTTTGAATTCCTTGTCAAATTTTAATAAATTTTGACCGTTTCAAAAGTTCGATTGAAGCTTCCTAGCTCATTTTAGAGCAGGACAAAGATTAGTGCAAAATATCTGAAGACGTTTCTGAAGACATTAAGGAATGATAAAACTCGTTTGATGCTCTAAAATGAGCTAGGAAGCTTCAATCGAACTTTTGAAACGGTCAAAATTTATTAAAATTTGACAAGGAATTCAAAAAAAATATTTTCAAATTTTTTCACCGGAACCATCGGGTTCTAGGAACCATTTTTTGTTAAAAATAGCATTTTTCGGCCCTAGAAGCTATCGCCTTCAATTAAAAAATCTGAAAAAATTTGAGATTACGTATTTTGATGAAAAAAACAAGAAAAAATTTTTTTCAGATTTTTCGAGGCTCCGTACTGTCCTAAAAAAATTATTTTCGTCAAAAAAATCGGTTTTTGGCTTCAAAAGGTGCGTTAGGTAATCTGAAAAAATCTGAAAAAAATTGAGGTTATGTTTTTTAATGCGAAAAATAACTGAAAAAATTTCCGAGTACTACATCGGCTCATACCGCCGTATCTCGATTTTTGAAATTTTCAATAATTTTTTCTGAAGGCCTGAAGCACTCAAAAAATCTGAAAAAATTCAAGGTTGTTTGGATTGTGGAAAAGTATTTTTATGAATTTTTTCAGATTTTTTACTTGCTTCATGTCCTCAGAAAAAATAT